CAGGGGCTGCGGGAGAGCTGGGATTTGGGAAAGGGCCGCAGGGCCAGGAGCCAGGGAATGGCTTCCCACTGGGAAAGGGGAGCTGGGAGCTTGGGAAGGAATTCCCAGAGAATCCCTGGGATCGATTCCCAAGGAAAGGCTGGAGCCACCTAGGATTGGGATTTGGATTGAAATTGGGATGGGATTTAAAATCCAGGGATCCCATCCAAATAATTTTGGGATTCTGGGATCGAGGACACTCAGGATACACCCCGAGGGATTTTTATGGAATTCAGGGATGGAAAAGGGAAGGCAGACCCTTCCTGGAGTCCTGAGATTCCCAGTGAAGCCCCCGGATCCTGAAATTCCTTCTCCAGGAGGAGTTGGGATGGGGCTGGATCCAATTCTGGGCTGGGAGAGCCGGGAATGTGCAGACGGATCGGGGAAGGATCCCGGGAATCCTGGGAGCCGCTTCCCGAGGCTCCCGGGGCTGCGGGAGAGCTGGGATTTGGGAAAGGGCCGCAGGGCCAGGAGCCAGGGAATGGCTTCCCACTGGGAAAGGGGAGCTGGGAGCTTGGGAAGGAATTCCCAGAGAATCCCTGGGATGAATCCCCAGGAAAGGCCGGATCACCCTGGGATCGGGATTAGGATTGGACTGGGCCGATCCTTGAGGTCTCCTCCCAACCACTCCAGGATCATTCCGTGTCCTGCCCTTTCCCTGAGGATTCCCGCTGAATTCCGGCTGATTCCAGGCTGCCATTCCCTGTTTTTCCCAGGAGCTGCAGGCCAGGGATGAGCAGTACGAGCAGGCCCTGAAGGAGCAGGCGGAGGAGATCCGGCTGCTCCTGGAGAGGATGGAAGAGCAGACCCGGAACATGCTCAGGACCTACCGGCACCACCTCCGGCAGATTGAGGTGACCAATTCCCGGGAAAACCGGGAAAAGCGGGAAAAGCCCCCTCTCCGCTTCTCCCGATCTTTATGGGGAAAAAGAAAAAAAAAATCCCAAAAATCCTCGGAATTGCGGTGCTGGGATGAAATCCGTCTGGATGAGGCGGGAATGCGGAGCTCCGAGGGGTTGGGAATGACTCTGGAATGACTCTGGGAGCTGCTGTTGCCGTTTTCCCGGGATCCCAGGCTGGAATTTCCCTCTCTCCCGCAGAAAACCTTTGAGGAGGAGCGCCGGGAAATGCTGGCCAACAACCGGAAAAGGTGGAACGAGGCCATCCGGGCCCACAACGAGCAGGAGGTGAATCCCACGGGAATTTTGGGAATCGCTGGGGCCGGAAAAACCCTCTGGGATCGCCCAGTCCGACCGTTCCCATCTCCAAAGGGTCAAATCCACGTGGATTCCAATCCCATTGGGAATGGGGGCTCCACCGTGCCCCGGCTGGAAAACCCCTGGATGTTGGGAATTGTTCCCGATATCCAAGAAAACCTCCCCTGGCACTTTCCCTGTTGTCCTGGCTTTTCCGGGAATTCCAGAGGGGGAAAGATCCCTCTGGAGCCTCCTTTTCTCCAGGCTGAGCTCCTTTCCCAGCTCCAGACCCATTCCCAACCCCTTTCCTGCCCGGGCCCGGCTTGGAATGCCGGGATCGGCTTGGAATGTCGGGATCGGCTTGGAATGTCGGGATCGGCTTGGAATGTCGGGATCGGCTCTGCCCTGCGGGGCGACGGGAGGGAGCTGGAATTCCTGGGATTAGTGTGGGAACGGGATGGGGAGGGTTGGGATGGGATGGGATGGGATGGGATTGGAAAAGGTGGAATGAGGTGGAATGAGGTTGGGTGAGGTTGGATGGGCTGGGATGAGATGGGATGATGGGTTTGGATGAGGTGGGATGGGATTGGAAGAGGTTGGATGACATTGGATTCGGTTGGATGACATTGGATGATATTGGATGCGGTGGGATGGGTTTGGTTGGGGTTGGATGGGGTTGGATATAGTGGGATGAGGTGGAATGGGATGGATTTGGACTCAGTTGGATTCTGTTGGATGGCATTGGATGAGGTGGGATGAGGTTGGATGGGGTTGGATGGGGTTGGATGATGTGGGCTGGGATTGGATGGGATTGGATGGGGTTGGATGAGGTTGGATGGGATTGGATGAGGTTGGATGAGGTGGGATGAGATGGGATGAGGTTGGAAGAGGTTGGATATGTTTGGAAGAGGTTGGATGTGTTTGGATGGGGTTGGATGGGATTGGCTGGGATTGGATGGGATTGGATGGGGTTGGATGAGGTGGGATGAGATGGGATGAGGTTGGATGTGTTTGGATGGGGTTGGAATGGGATTGGATG